ACTCGACTCTTCTGTAGTTACATCGTGTAGTAAGACCGACGGAAAATGTAAAAGTGCTACCGCCAGACCCAGAGATCGGCTGAATGGATTAGAAAATGGTAAAACTCAACTGTTTAACTCTAGGGGAGTTGGAAAATGAGCCTATTTTCAAAAATAGTGGAGTGTTCATTTAAGAATTTAGAGAATGTAAAACTTGGGGAACTTAGAACTATAGAACTGCAGAAATATGTGAGCTATGAGAAGTCTGAAAACTTAATGCAAAGAAATTAAAAGTTAGAGAACGTAGAACCTAGTGGAGAACTTTAGAACTTAGAGAACTCTAGAACTGGAGAACTTTATGAGCTTGAAGAACTTAGAACCTAAAAAAATGACAACTTGAAGAAAGTAGAACCTAGACAGTTTAGAACGTTAGAACTTAAAGAATCTGTTGTAGAACTTTGAGTTCAGTTTATAATTAATCTTTCATTTAGACCATGAATAACTGTCTTGTGATTCCCTTGTCTTCAGTATGTGTCTGAGGTTGTGATCGGGGCTCCGTATGCAGTAGGAAAAGACCTTCTGGATCACTTTAAGGTACAGTACTAAACCGTTCATTGTAGAGAATAAGAATCTAGTTTTGGTGTAACCCACTTCTAGACACAATAACACAATAAGAGGCTTTGAGTGTGAAGAGAACGTGGTTTGTGTGATTCACACAGTACGTTATTGAGACACAAAGCTGTGTGTGTGTTGTGTAAAGCTCTGGGACAGCAGCCAGACTCCAAGGCTTTAGTGACTGAACACTATTTCAGCAATTCTGTGTTGTCCTGCTTCGGGAACAATCTAGAGATTTACTGCTCGCCTCTTTAACCACAAACCCTCAGACAGTTACAGAGAGTTCAACCATGCATTATAGTTTAACTCAAAAGAGTGCTTGGGACATTTTCTCAGTCCTGATGGGAACAAATACAAAGGATGCACAATATATTGATGACATCATGTTTTTGTCAAATAAATGTAGGTTTATTGGTTATTATATTTAAAAAAAATAATAATAATACTGAAATAGTTACATTTTATTAAATTATATACAGTATATGATATATATGGACATTTGGCACTGAAAAAATAATTTAAAAAAAAATCTGTTATCATCAGCTTAATTAAAAAAAAACCCGAAAAAGTAGAGCTTAAATAGAGATATCAATTGTTACTCTCTACTTACCTACTTATTTCCTTTTGACATGTTTTAAGTTTTTTCTTCCATTATTTGTTCAGTGCCAAATTTATGAAGCACTACACTAATATCCAAATATTCTGTTGTACATTAAAATATTTTGATACATGATTTTAGTTTGAACTGTTTTTTTGTTTGTTTTTTTACGTTTTTAACTTTTTTACAATTATCTGCTCATCTAAAAGTGTCTCGCTATCTCAACCAAGGTCATTATAGTTAGCTAAAAATACAAATAAAAAAAAATCTTTACTTGAAATAAAATAAATGTGAAAACTTTTTTTTTTTTCAGCTAGTTGACATTTGGCAGTTTAATTTAGTTTAACTTGTAATAACTAAAACTGAAATAAAACTGAAACTGAAATAAAAACACATATAAAAAAAACTACAAAAAATTACTAAAACTTTAACAAAACGGCAAATATAAAAATAAAAACTGATTCAAAACATTAATGAAAACTATAATAGTATCTCAATGATATTAAAATGACACTATACATATCAGAATCTGCAGTCATGTATCTATATCTGAATGTTCATGTGCCTGGCTGTAGGTGGATCTGGTGTGTCACGGGAAGACCGAAGTGTTTCCTGACACAGACGGGACAGACCCTTACGCCGTGAGTAAAGTTTCCTAATATGCATCTCTGAACGATCTTTTCTTCCATTAAAACTGTTTTTACCCATTGTCTCTCTTCACAGGAGCCAAAGAAGAGAGGTATTTTCCGCATCCTGGACAGCGGCAACAATCTGACCTCCGACGACATCGTGCAGAGAATCATTGAGAACAGGTTTGTGGGCAATACGAGCAAAACGTGACAGCATCGCTCACTTGAAATGTTATGAACATATGCAAATGAGCCGTGTCTCTCTTTGTCCTGGTAGGTTGCAGTTTGAGGCCAGGAACCAGAAGAAGGAAGCTAAAGAGATGGCCGTGATCGAGGCTTTGAAGCATAAAGATGATTCGCTGAAGACCGAGACGGCTCTAACGAATAATTAACCAAAATATCCAAGCCAAACAAATCAAGGGCTTCATCATAGAACCAAAATGACCCCCGGACTGTTATAAAACACCCTGAACGAACAAATGCCTGAGCTGAGGCTGCTTTTAAGTGGACTTGGAGAAACACAGACTTGTTTTTTTATTTCGTACGACTCTTGTTTGACGACAAAAGCACTTTGTTGTGCGTGGAGAGTTTTTATGGTACCTATTAAATGGATTGGAAGACTTCCTCTGTGGATGGGAGGAACATTGAGAAACATTCAGCAAATACTTTTGCGTCATATAGGAAGGTTATGGGAAGATTGTGTCATTTCAATGGTTTTTGAATTGGGGCGATCCATCCGCACGTAACTGTGGTTGAGCAGAGAATCGCTTTGCGAAGAAACACTTGATGTTGACTACGATAGTTTGCATAGTAGCTGTTAGTATGTTTGTAAGCTTATTCTGATTTTATGTTTGGATTTTTTTTAATTTTGTGTTTTATATTCTGTGTCATGGAAATATATCCAGGTCACATTTTACCCCAAAATCAAAAAAGAAAGAATTTTTTTCATAAAGAAATGTTCTTGTTTTCGGACTATTAAGGCATTTTTTTTGCATTGTGATATTATTTTTTCTTATTTAATTTCCATTTATATTCTCATTACCATAATACATCTGGACATTTACATTTTTATTTTATTTTATTTTTTGTTTGCAGATCTCATTATTTGCAGTAGTGATTCATATTAGATTCTCTTTATAGTATTTTTTTATAGATATGTATAAATTAAGGATGTACTACCATGATATATAAATACTTTACAATTTAATTAATATATGTTATCCTTTTTTATATTATATATATATTTTTCCATTTTGGTAGTGAGATTTTGGCAAATGGGCTCTATCGATCAAAATAATGTCACAATGCAAAAAAATAAAATCATTAAAATATTAAATCATTAAAATAATAACAAAATTTAAACTTTTTTTGTGGTAAAATGTCATCCTGGCCATTTTTACCTAGTTTTACCCTAGTAACTTTTATTCTGGTGGTGCTGTTGTAGTTTTACCTTTCTCATCATCATCACTGGAAGTTTGATATGTGTGTCATGAAAAAAAAAATCTCAACAAATCTCAGAAGTTTTTTCAAATATTGTTTCATACAGTGTCCACGGTCACATATCTGGTATTTTACTCTCTCTTATACCACTTTTATTTCCACTTTCTCACCTTGTTGTGATGTGATCAAAGTCACAACCAAAGACTCTTTGACCTCAGGTGATTGTTAGATGTCAGTTTAACGTCACAGTTTCATTCATTTTAACATGCAACATAAATAATCTTTACAAACATCAGAGTCTAAACCAAACTGATTGTCAAAATTCAAACTTGCTTTTATCTCATATGTACTTTTATCTTGTTTTTATGCAGTTTGTCACCTGTTTTTGTTTTTAATGAATGTCAAAGCACCTTGCAATTGAAGCATGTTTTTTGTTTTTAACATTTCTTGCATATTTATAGTGAATAGCTGTGAAGAAAACACTAATTTAATGTTCCTACTTTGCAGAAATGTTGAGTGACCAATTCTGAATGTGGTGTTAACGTCTTCAGACAATCTTTCATTTGTCATCCCACGATATCCCATCATAAACTGTAAATCATCAAATCACATACATTAATTGCAAATTCTATGCAATTTTCACAATAAATATCAAAACAGGCTGTTCTGACTATTATTTGAACTTTAATGCATTAAGCGCATTAAAATCTAATTACTGAATCTAATTTAGCCAATTTGAAGATTATGTATGCATCTTTCAGACTGAACTTTGAGAAATTCATAATATTTTCCACCCCTGCTAATGATTTTTTATGGATATGTTTTTTTTTTAACACAATGTAAAGTACCAGTAAAAGTTATATATATATATATATATATATACAGAATATATATTTGAGCTAGTTGCCAAGGCAACATTTTTCATTTTAATTTAGTTTAACTTGATGTACTTAGCCTATAAAAACTATATAGACATATATAAAAAAAAACAAAAAACTACTAAAAATGACAAAAACATAAAAACGATTAAAATTTGATCTGAAATTAAAATAAATAATATTTTAAATATTGATAAAAGCCATAATAGTATGATACTAAATTAACATTGTGAAGTAAAAACATTCTGAACTGAATTTTACAGCAGGTTTGAATTTGTGTGGTCACTGATTGTACAAAGAAAATGTTTATGGTTAATAATAAAAAATAATAATTATAAAGTTTTATTGTACATATTTAAGCTGATGCTTGATGAGTGTTTTTGACTGATTCCATGTTTTAGTTTTTGTTGTAGCCTATTAGATAAAAAACTATAACAAAATTAAAAATATATATTTCATTTAAATTTATTTGATTGATTTCATATTTGATTTTATTGTTTATATGGTATTTTATGGCATGTGCTGTTTGTTTTTAGTTACTTTGAACGTTTTTACTTTATATTTTTGCTTCATTTTTTTTTAAAATATTGTATTAATTCATTTATTTCTTACTTTATTTCATTTCATTACATTTAATTGTATAATGAGTTTCACGGTCTGCCAGTCATCCTCGCACAGCGCTTGAGTGAAACCCATCTCAGGTGACAAAGTTCCACAAACGTCACGTCACTTCCTTCCTAAAGAACGCGGACACCCCTCACTGCAGAACACAAGATCCAGGGGGCGTGGTTGGATCCGCATCTAGGGGGTGGAGATGGGTAGGTTTAGGGATCAGGGGGTGGAGACGGGTAGGTTTAGGTATATGTAAGGTGGGAGGAGTTGGATCTGGATCCAACCACGCCTCCGGACACCCCCCAAAAGCGACGCTCTGTAGGCGACCCGCACCGTTTAGTTTGCTCGTAATGAACAGGTAGAGTTGCGTTGTGGAAAAGGAGTGTTTGTGCGGCGTCTGACAGTGTTTACGTGAGATAAACCCCGTGGACGCGATGATTCTTACGAAACTAACCGGGAACAGGCGAATTTGAAACTTTTTTTCGAAACTTTCCTCCTCTCTCTCTCTCAGATTTGGAATCAGATCATTCCAAAAACACACGCGCAGTTGCCTTTGGTGTCATTTTACGCGTTAACCGGAGGGACTTTGGATAAGAGCGCGCGGTGATCTCGCCGGGATGTTTTTACGTGTGTTTGAACGTTCCTCTTCGGTTCCATCCGTAATGTTGGGATTTCTGCTGGATCTTTAGCTGTGTGGGAAAGACATGAGCTCTGGATATGGGTCTGTGTCTGGGCTCAGAGGTGACAGAGGAAGGAAAGAAGGCGAAGATCCACAGCTCGCAGATAGACAGAGATCTGTACGAGTGCGCCAAGAGTGAGATGAACGTGGTGAAGATCCTCATGCTGGGTAAGCTCTGTTAGCTCTCATCCTGATGTTTGTTCATCTGCTTATTGCTTTTAGTTGAAATAACATGGGTTTTGATCTTTAAATGGACCTGCTTGTTCATTAGAAATGTAATTTTGGTTATTTTAGTTTACTTGTAACTAAAAGATTGTGGGTTTGGACTCCAGATCTGGGTTGGTAACGGCAAGTTTATTTATTCAGCAACAGATATGGGCTTGTAATTGAAAGTTATCAGTCTAGGTAGCCAATCTCTCCAAGAATGTTGGTTTAAAATCCCAGTTTTGGTTTGAAACCTACAGGTTGTGGGCTTGAACCACAGATTTGGGCAGGTTGTAGATTGAAACTTAACATTTTTGGGTTTGTAGGAGGTACAAACCCAAACATGTTAAGTTAACTGCCCAGATGTGAAGTTTTAGCTGATATATAAAAGGTTCAAGTCTCAGTTATCGGTTGAAACTGAAAGTTTGGTGGGTTTAATCTTAGATATAGTCAGTGAAATGGAAGGTTGTTGCTTTAAAATATCAGATTCGTGCAGTTATGTGAACATTTGTGGATTTGAATCTGAGAAATGACCTGATATGAAGGTATTAGCTTCATATACTAAAGATCTGTGCTGGTTTGAATTTCATATTTGTGCAGGTAACTGAACCATTCTGGGTTGAATTTTCATATTTATGTAGGAAACTGAACCATTGTGGGTTCACATTTCATATTTGTACAGGTAACTGAATCATTCTGGGTATAAATTTCATATTTGTGCATGTAACTGAATATTTCTGGGTATAAATTTGATATTTGTGCAGGTAACTGGACAGTTTGAACCTCAGAACTGGGATGGTAACTTAAAGGCTGTGGGTTTGAATTTCACATTTGTGCAGGTAACTAAATGGTTCTAGGTTTGAAACTCAGATTAGGGCTGGTAATTGAAAGGTTGTGGGTTTGAATTTTGTATTTGTGTGGGTAACTGTAAAGTAATGGTTTCGAACCTCACATCTGGGCTGATAATTGAAAGGTTGTGGGTTCAAATTTCATATTTGTGCAGATAACTGAATGGTGGCAGGTTTGAACCTCATATCTGGAGTGGTAACTGAAAGGTTGTGGGTTTGAACTTCAGAAAGAGTTGATTCATGAACAGTGAAAGCTGTACCCTTAAACTAGACATTTATCTTAGGTTAATATAGACTGTACCATTAGATTATTTTGTTAAAAGTGTAAACTAAATGACTAATTAGTCATTTTGAATGACCTATTTTGATGTAGGTGCTGCTGAAAGTGGGAAAAGCACACTGGTCAAACAGATGAAGATTATCCACAGTCATGGATTCACCAAACAAGAGTTAGCCAGTTTTAAGGTAAGACATTTTGTTATGTTCTGTTGTTTCCACACACTTGATGTCCAGCAGTGCAAGAGGTTAATTGCATTTAATAGTTTAACATTTGTTCCATACTATATTTTGTCTGTGCGCTCTGTACTTCCTCTGCCATCTGTGTTTGGGGATTATTAAAAGTTTAAGGGGTCATTAGTTCAGCTGTGAAACAAGACCTCAGCTGAACGGAAGACTGGATGTTGCCTCAGCACGTTTTTTTGTTCTGTTTGAAAGAGAACGATTAAGGGGAAAGGAAACACGTGGAAACATGACACAAAAAGTTTTTGAAGTTTAAAATATTGTTTACTTCCAAGCAAATTTTCTCTATAGTTCGTTTGACAGTCAGTGTGCACTTCCTCTATAGTCAACCATCTCATTGCACACTTTTTTTGACCTGTCACTCACAAGTGTTACCATAGCAACATAGTTAAGATGCACGATGGTTCCTTTAGACTAACCTGCATTCTACATATGCTTTATCGCCACGGGAACAGAAAGGAGATTGATTTGCTCATTCATAGTAAACCACAGCCAGCTGTGTTCTCAAAACGATCATCGCCCCTGCTATCACTAAAACTGCATTTTTTTTATTGTCACTTCGAGGCAAAACGTCATTTTTGAAAACAACAACAATAGTAGTGTTATTCAAGCCCATTCTTCAGGTAACCAAAAGACCCTAGGCTAGGGGTTGGCAGTATGAATCAAGTAATTTAATATCACTCTATATATATGACGAATTTGTTATAATTTGCTAGAAATTCAAAGAAAACATTTTTAGTGCTAGGCTATAAAAGGATATTTTATGGCTATATCTAGACATTACAGTTCAGATTGCAAAAATAAAGACTTTTATTTAATCTACATCAAACTGTGTTGGGCTAAACACAGAGCCTTGAGGTATCCCAAACTCAAGATGTGACTTAAACATGGCTCGTCTGCATTTACTACAAAATTATGTTATTGTATGACATCCTTTAGCTTGTGAGTAACAGGTTACAAGAAGTGTACTAGGAGTTTGTTGATAGTGCACTTTGGCTGCAGAATGCACAGAAAAAGGCTAACTAGTAGCCTATGGTTTTTTTTAGCTTGTCTTTGAGAGAATGCTACCTTACCTCACTTCCCTCATTATTTCGTTCCCTCGCCCTTAATAAAAGCCATTTTGATCCTTTGGAATTCAGGAATTTATTGAGAGAATGCTACCTTACCTCACTTCCCTCATTATTTTGTTCCCTCGCCCTTAATAAAAGCCATTTTGATCCTTTGGAATTCAGGAATTTGTCCATCCAATATTTGTGCGCTGACGCTTATCAAGCTAACAGAGCGTTAAGAGACATGTTTCTAGTCAGATCTTTCTCCAGTTGTTTTATAAATTAGCTAATTTTGTCAAAAGACGGATGATCCATCGTATCTCCTGTGGAGTGCCAGATCCGCATGTGTGCTTGCTTGGGTTAAACAGAGACTTTGTGTACCATGTTCTCTTCATTAAACCTTCTCGCAGGGTCTGTTTGTGTTAGCTACACTTTTCTGTGAGTCTGAATTAGATTGATGGACTGAGAATGTGCAAGTGGTGTTTTGAAGTGCCTCAGGGAATGCTTTAAAACCTCAGTGACAGCTCCAGCCAAATGCATAGGGATTGCCAGGATGGTTAACTAGATGATTAGTCATCAAGCAACCAGCTAGTTGTTTTGTGAGATTTTTAGTGGCAGGGGGATGAATTTAAGAACCTATTAGCATGCTAATAAACTGCAGTGATGACTATGGTAGTTGCTTGCAAGAAAAATTATGCTTCCCTATTGAAGTGCTGCATTTTTGTTACTGTCAGATTGTTGCCATGTGATACGGTTTTATTGGTCTTTGTCCTGTATTTTAGGCTGATTTGTCACCCGTATGACAACATTGACCATCACACATTGAAAAACCATGAACAAACCCTTTAAATAAACACTCACCGCAATGCACACACCATTTTTGCGCATCTCGTCAGTAAAGCCAGTTCTGTGATTAGTAGTAAATCTCCATCACCTGCTTTCAAATGGAGCGGCATTTACTACACAGAGCCGTAGTTCACTGACAAGCTACGCAATATCACGTTCATTATCGCCGATGTATCGCCTGCGATTGATATTGCGTAGCTTGTCAGTGAACTATGGCTCTGTGTAGTAAATGCCGCTCCATTTGAAAGCAGATGATGGAGATTTACTACTAATCACAGAACCGGCTTTACTGACGAGATGCGCATGATCATCACATTCGATTATTTGCACAGCCCTAGAATCATCATCTGTGCAATCTTTTGCCAGCACTTCCATTTATCTTTAAACAAAACAAGAATTGTTGGAATGTGGGTGAGAATGACGTTATGATTTCAAGCATAACAAGGCAAGCTTTGTCTGTACAGGAAACAACAGTTTTTACTAACATCTAGAAATGCAGTTTTTTTTTTTTCAAACATTTGTAAATGTATAAATGGTAAGTTTGCTACTGATTTGCTATGATGTTGATTCGTTCTGTAGGCATTGAACTGAATGACATCAAGTGTGAAGTATGTGATCTCTAGATCTGATTAATGTTAGCCATGTCACTGCATAGTTTGTGACAGTCACTGTGGTGTGAAACTTTTCTGACTAGAGGCACAATGTTTGTATTTTGCACCACTCTAGTTAATAATTCAGCCCAACAACGGTTTTCATCTGTTTGTGGAACGGGAAGAACAAAACGGTAAGGGCCCATAATAGGGCTAGGCTAACTTCTCCCATTGTTCTAGAGACAAAATAAACACTGCCCTTAAGCCAAAGGATGGCATACAATAGGCTAATTTTGTAGTAAATGCAGACGAGCCGAGTTTGAGTCACGTCTTGAGTTCGGGATACCTCAAGGCTCTGTATTCGCTCCATCAAAGTTTGATGTAAATAAAATGAAAAGTTTACAATCTAAACTATAATTTTTATGCTGACCTCTTCTATGCCTGTGTTTTCTCTTAAAATGTATGTGGCCGGTCACAGGGTTTCTATGTTTCTAATGTTCAAAGTCCAGTTCCTGCTTCACCAGTTTTTGTTGGACAGATTCATAAAGGGTCATGCTTTCTCTCACACATGCATATGTTTGTACAGACCCATAATTATGGCTAGTTTCATATTGTACACAAGCTTGCAGACACAAGCACGGTCTGTAATCAGACGTAGTGTCGCACAAGGGCGGACCGTCGACTGTCAGAGGGAGGCCAGGGAAGGGTGTGGTGACCTGTGGTGTGTGTGAATCATAAATGCAAGGGAAAATGTGACGTGTTACAGATAAAAAAAAGGGACTTGTCCTGACCTGAATGTCGCAGGAGTGTCTTTCTTAATCCTTTCTTTTTCTCACCATTGCACTAAACTGTCACTGCAGTCTTGAACCACACTGTGGTCTCTAACAAGTTGTCTTTCCTGTTTCCTTCTTTTTTTGTTTCTTACAGAAGACACCTGTCTCTCCTTGTTCTCCTCGCCCAAAGCTACCACTTCACCTTAAAGTTAACATGACAAGCATTTCTTATTATTATCAATGTTGAAAAGAGTTGTGCTGCTTAAAATTTCTGTGGAAACCGTAATACTTTTTTCACGATTCTTTTATAAATAGAAAGATTAAAAGAATATAATTTACTTGAAATACATCTTCCTGACCCCTAAACTTTTGAATGGTAGTTTATATTGTTACATTAATAAAGATTACACATACAGTGCTGCTTGAAAGTTTGTGAACCCTTCAGAATTTTCTATATTTCGTATTCCATATGACCTAAATGATCATCAGAAAGCCCTGAAAGTAGACAAAGAGAATCCAATCAAACAAATGAGACAAAAATATATACTTTGTCATTTATTTATTTACAAAAATTATCTAGTGTTACATATCTGTGAGTGGCAAAAGCATGTGAATCTTTGCTTTCAGTATCTGGTCTGATCCGGTTTTGCAGCAATAACTGCAGGTAAATGTTTATTGTAACTGCTGATCAGTCCTGCACAACGGCTTGTTGGAATTTTAGACCATTCCTCAGTACAGAACCGCTTCAACTCTGTGATGTTGGTGGGTTTCCTCCTATGAACTGCTTGCTTCAGGTCCTTCCACAACATTTCAATTGGATTAAGGTCTGGATTTTGACTCGGCCATGCCAAAACATTAGGCTAATTTTTTTCTTCTTTAACCATTCTTTGGAAGAACGACTTGTGTTTGGGGTCGTTATCTTGCTGCATGACCCACTTTCTCTTGAGATTCAGTTCTCAGACAGATGTCCTGACATTTTCCTTTAGAATTTGCTGGTATAATTCAGAATTCATCGTTCCATCAATGATGGCAAGCCGTCCTGGCCCAGATGCAGCAAAAGAGGCCCAAACCATGATACTACCACCACCATGTTGGGATACTACCACCACAGATGGGATAAGGTTTTTATGATGGAATGCAGTGTTTTCCTTTCTCCAAACATAACACTTCTCATTTAAACCAAAAATTTATGTTTTGAATCAATCCATCCACAAAAAATTTCTCCAGTAGTCCTCTGGCTTGTCCACATGATCTTTAGCAAACTGCAGACGGGCAGCAATGTTCTTTTTGGAGAGCAGTGGCTTTCTCCTTGCAACTCTGCCATGCACATCATGGATGTTAAGTGTTCTCCTGACGGTGGACTCATGAACATTAACAATAGCCAATGTAAGAAAGGCCTTTAGTTGCTTAGAAGTTAGCCTGCAGTCCTTTGAAACCTACTGGACTTTCACATGATCTTTAGCAAACTGCAGACGGGCAGCAATGTTCTTTTTGGAGAGCAGTGGCTTTCTCCTTGCAACTTTGCCATGCACATCATGGATGTTAAGTGTTCTCCTGACGGTGGACTCATGAACATTAACAATAGCCAATGTGAGAAAGGCCTTTAGTTGCTTTGAAGTTACCCTGGGATCCTTTGCAACCTCACAGACTATTACACATCTTGCTTTTGGAGTGATCTTTGTTGGTCGACCATTCCTGGTTAAGGTAACAATGGTCTTGAATTTCCTCCATTTGTACACAATCTGTCTGACTGTGGAATTGTGGAGTCCAAACTCTTTAGATATGGTTTTGTAACCTTTTCCAGCCTGATGAGCAACAACAACTCTTTTTCGGAGGTCCTCAGAGATCTCCTTTTGTTCATGCCATGATTCACTTCCACAAACATGATCAGAGTTTGATAGATCCCTGTTCTTTAAATAAAACAGGGCAGGCACTGACACCAGTTATCCCAATGACTGAAAACACCTCTGAACAGATGGACTCTAACTTTGCCTTCAAATTCACTCACATACTTTTGCCACTCACAGATATGTAATATTGGATCATTTTCCAGAATAAATAAATGACAAAGTGTATATATTTTTGTCTTATTTGTTTGATTGGATTCTTTTTGTCAATTTTCAGGACTTGTGTGAAAATCTGATGATCTTTTGGCTCATGTTTATGCAGAAATATAGAAAATTCTAAAAGGTTCACAAACTTTTAAGCAGCACTGTATATGAGATGTTTACACACCATACACACAAAACAATAAATGTTACATTACAGTGTTTTATCTAGTGTGTCCATCTGGTGGCTCTTTTTTTATAGCAAGACTTCACAAAACTCACAGCTGGGTTTCGTTTTCATTTCCTTGACCTCCCTCTGACTCTGTTTCTTTGATGAAGTGGTAAGTTCTCCTGTTACAAACGTGACATCAAGGAGTAATTGGAGACTTTGTCGGTGGTCAAGAATTTGGGTTTGACCCAAACATAGTTATTGTAGAATGTACAGTATTTTCTTTGACAAGATTCTGTTCTGGACTTGCCTGGAATTTTAGGATGTTGTCACTTCCTTCAGGATTTTATATGACCGTAATTCTAGAATTTGTTGTTCTTTGATGTCTGAAAGTTGTAGAACTCAAAAGTTGCATAGATTCTTGAAAAGAAATGCTGGATTCCTAGAATGGTTCATCAAAAACTTTTTATAATCAATTACTTATTACACTTTACTTTGTTTCAAGGAACACAAAAAAGGATTATGTAAGCTGCTATTGTGACAAGGGACTTTCAAACTCCAAAATAGACAAAAAAAAAAGCACCATAAACCTGTAATAATATTCTATAGTTCTTCTGAAGCCATATAATATGCCTATATTCAAATTATGTCCTATATTTCAGTTATGAAATATGAGAACCAATGCTGTTCTGTATCAATGATGTGACAGTTTAAAAATGTCTGTGAATGTGTGAATTTTGAATTTGCTTTTATTTGTATATTTTCAGTTTCAGTTTAGTTTAAGTTTTAATAATTGTATGTTTGTTTGTCATTTTTATTATTTTTTAAATATTTTTGTTTAGCTTTCATTTTATTATTTCATTTTTAGTTTTCATAATTTTAGCAATTAAACAAACTTATTTTACTTGGTTGACAAGGCAACATTTCTCATTTACTTTTAAGTTTTGTAAGTGTGACATCTAATATTCAGATTTTAATTCAGCTATATTTTAAAATAGTTTTAGTAAATTTAGTAACTGAAACTTATTTTAGTTCAGTTGGTTGCCAAAGCAACATTTCTAATTGTCCTTTAAGTTTTGTGTTACATGTAATATTTTGATTTTATTTCAGCTTTATTTTAATTAGCAAAATGTTTTTTAATAGTTTTAGTATGTTTACTATGTCAAAACACTTCTAATTTTCTTTTAAGTTTTGTAAATGTAAGTTTTACATCTAATAATTATTTTATTTCAGCTAATACTAAAAGTTTTAGTTATCTATAACAACACTAGTGTGAATTGTACATATTTGTTGAACTGTCACTTTAAACAATTTCTTCTGACAGTTTTTAGGACTTTAAGCAGTGTTAAAAAGGAAATAAAAGATGAAGAGTGTGATTTATATCCCCCCCCCCGCCCCTCTCTCTCTCTCTCACGCACACACACACACACCCTAGTGTGTGTGAAGCTCCCTACCATCTTTGCACTTATCGCTTTCCAAAAGAATAGTTTCATTGTTCTAAAGTGTGTGATTCACTCTAGCACTTTACCTCCTGCATCGCTCTAGTGCACTTTGTGTGTGTGTTTACAACAACAAGAAATCGATAAAAAGTGCATCATACATCCGAACCCGCACAGAACACAGAAAGGCTTTTCGGCGTTCGCTCTTCCCTGGAATGTTCTGCGCCTCTGATCTACGGCCCAGCAAACAAAAGCTGTTCAATAAAGGGCAGGAATGTGTTTGCTTTGGCCGGAGAGTCAGGGGCGGTAAAAGGGGAAGCATTTGAGCACAACACGAGCGGACGGGTGCTGAAAGTGTGAAAAGGGGAAGGTTTTGAGTGGCACACACGTGGACTGATTTTGTTAAGTGTGTCAAACTTTTTTTCAGTCGAAATGAAATCAAAAATTACTTTCTTAATATACATTTTGGTCTTACTGTGCATGATTATTCATTTTAATAATAAGTACTTGTAAAGCATATATTTAGGCTATTAATTTATTATGTTAACTTCTACATTTACTAGTACATTTATTAAATCAATTAATTTTTCACATTTCAAGTTTTAACATTTCAGGTAATACTTATATAAATAAATACATTTCTGTATTTATTTATTTATATTTATTTATCATATATTTATTTTCCTCAATTGTTTTTTTTTTTTACTCATTGAAGATCCTATTTCACTTGTAAATATGTTGCAATGTGTGTGTAAAACAGTTAATTAATTTTGTGTATGAAAAGAAAATGTGGCAATCAAATAACTGTACAAATCATTCCCATCTCTGTGAATTGTTCTGTCCAAAAAGAAATGATCAGCATTCCTGTCTGGCGGCAGTAATGGCGCCCGGTGAAGCCACTTCCTGTCACTTAGGTGGACATGAGACAATAAGAACCAATCAAGCAGAAATTCATAACGTCCCAGTGACAGGAAGTGAATGTGTTTGGTTAGATGCACACACAAATGGCCTTGTTACGTTCTGTCACAGATCACGGCAAGGGTTCTTGCGTAATGCTTTTTTTTTTTTTTTTTTAGGAAGTTATTTGTGTTTGAAGGGACACAAATCAGAGGAGAAAGAACTCAGAACTAATAAAAATTAATATGCTAAGAATGTGAATATCATGCTTTGTTGTCACTTATATGAAAAGATTATGATTTATATATCTTTTGTTTTTCCAGCCTGCGGTGTTGGATAACCTCCTGACCTCTATGAAGTTTGTGCTCCATGGAATGGGTGTCCTTCACATCAACCTCGCTAACAGCAAGAACAAGGTCTGAACCCAACTCTTTCCTTTCTGCTGTTGAACAGTATATTTATTTATTATCCAGAGTTAAGATTTCTCTATTAAAATAAACTATTTTTAAATTTATTTTTGTTTAAATTATTTGTAATATAACAAATAAAATTATTATTATTATTATATTTAATTAGTATGTCTTTATTATATACCCTTTTAGATTTTACATTAAATTTTTTGTAATATATAAAATTATATTTTTTGTAATATATAAAAATGTAAACTTCTATTATTATTTATTATTATTACTATTATTGTTGTTGTTGTTTTTATTGATTTTGTGTGCCCATTTAGATACTGTTTTAAACTTGTATTACTAGATCTTGTTACCCAGGGTTAGGATTTGTGCAATAAAATAACCTATTTTTAAATTTATATTTAAATATTAGATTTTATA